TGGTGAGACAGCCAAAACTTTGTGTAACAATTATATGTAAATGTTTTTGAAAAATCAAAAAATATATTTTAGAAAATTAAAACCTGTTTTGTCCCTAATCTCAGGAATCACTGGCATATAAAAGCAATATAAAATATAAAAGCGATATAAAAAACGATTTTCTTTTCACACTTTTTAACAGGTTTAACTTTAAATTTTTAAATTTGCATCTGACCTGCACTGACATGCTCACTACCCTCCACCTGAAGTCAACAGCAAAAATCAATAAACCTGTCTATGTAGATGAATTTAAGTAGATTTGCTTTGATTAGATCTGGAGGCAATTACATCAATGACTGCTTTCATGGACTTTTCTGTTGTTTTAGGGTTGCTCAGCTTTGACATTTGTTTGTTTTGTGTTTTTTGTTGTTATCCTGGTTGAATAAATTTTTCATTAATTATTTCCAAAACATAAACAAGTACAAAATCACACACCGGTTTGTAAAACTTCTACCAGTACGGGTGTTGGACTTCCTCACTGGCAGAACTCAGTGGTGTTGGGTGTCATCTCCAACAACGATGAGGCGGCCTACATGGATGAAGTGAAGAATCTGGCATCATGGTGCCAGGACAACCATCTCCAGCTGAACGTTGGCAAGACCAAGGAGCTGGTGGTGGACTTCAGAAGGAGTCAGCACAGAGAGTACAAGCCCATTATCATCAATGGAGCTCCAGTGGAGAGGGTGCAGTCCTTCAAGTATCTCGGTGTCCACATCTCCTCAGACCTGACATGGTCTGCCCACATTCAGGTCCAGACCAAAAAGGCTAGGCAGCGTACCACCTACGACAACTGAGGAAGTTCAGGGTCTCTCCAAAGATCCTCAGGATTTTCTATACAGGTGCTGTGGCGAGCATCCTCACACAGAACATGACATCCTGGTTTGAGAACAGCTGTGTTAAGGACCAAACAGGTCTTCAGAGAGTGATTCGTACAGCAGAGCGATGCTGCAGGATTGATCTCCCCTCGCTTCAGGACACCTACAACAGGAGATGCCGGACTAGAGCAGCGCAGATACTGAAGGACCCGTCCCATCCTGGCAACAAACTGTTCCAACTTCAGCAATCCGGTAGTAGGTTCCGCATCATCTGGGCAAGAACAGAGAGACTCAAGAGGAGCTTCTATCCCCAAGCCCTACCCCCCCTGAGACAGGACTCTCTTCTAGACACTCTAAACCCACCTGCACAATGTACATTTCGAATTCCTTTAATTTTAAATATTGTCTATTTTGTAAAATGTTCAGATTGTCTATTCTTATTTAATTCACTTAATGTACAGAATTCACCTGCTTCCTACATGCTGCTGCTGCACATTCACTTAATGTATATATTATATATAATGTTCTTCCTGCCCCCTTTTGCACAAGTCGAGGAACGTGTCAGGTTTCATTTCACTGTGTGTTATACTTGTATAAATATGCATGTGACGAATAAAGAACCTTGAACCTTGAACATTCTTGTAGTTCATTTCCTCCTTGGCGGTCGGGTTTTATTTTGAAGGTGCTAGGCGGAAGTGTGTTGTGACTATTGAGGCTTTACTCCGGTGAGTTTTGTCCGGCGGCTGCTGCTCTATGAGGAGCAGATGCTGCTGAGTGAAGGCAGAGGAGACAGGGAGTCCCGGACCGAGCAACTGACTGCTAGCCACACAGGTGAGATCACTCCGCTTCTCTCCTCCTGTCCTCCTCTTTCATGTTCTCCCCTCTGCTTCTGCTCTTTAATCCGGTTTAACTGCGGTACAGCGGGAACACAGGACTCGGTTTAAACGCGTCACCTTTTTTTTTCTCAGGGGGAAACGGAAAAGTTCGCTTTAGGTTCTCGGACTTAATAAAAAGCATAGAAGAGGCTCCAAAATACTCAAAAGAACAAAAAGTGAGACAGTAAAGAGGAGGAGGAGATCGGGGTGTAAACCCGGTTTACGTCAAACCTTTAGACTCTTTAAAAAACAGAATAAACTCTTGCTTTTAAAGTGCATTTTAAAGCATTTAGCGGGGGTTATTTGTTTTTTTTAAAGAAAGTTTTAAAGCGAGTATAGAAGCAGAATGTGCAGTTTGTGTTCGTACCGCTGGGGACGCTGCAGCAGCCCGTAGTTGAGGTTTTATGAATCAAACTCCTAAAGCGGCATCGAACTGCAGATCAAAGCTTCTGACATGTTTTATCTGCCCGGAAATGTTTATTCCTGAACCTCCACGTGTGAGTGTGTGTGAAATGTTCATATTTACTCACCTTTTTTTAAAGCCACACAGCCTCCTTCAGAGTACCAGGGGAGTAAAATCCAGACCTGATGAGCTGAAACCAGCAGCAGAATCTGCTTTTAGAAAGTCTCTGAAGACAAGCTCAGTTTTTATGTGTTGTAGATGATGCCAAGTCAGGCTGCATTATTGTCATATTTTCTGTGTGTGTGTGTGTCACGCTGTCTGTTAGAACCCACAGACATTAAATCCTCAGTCTGGGAGTGTTATCACTGATGATTGGATTCTAATCATTTACCTTAATCAATAACTGCATTGATTCGTTCAGACTTTGACGATGACAGTGTGGCATTTTAGAGATGAAATGTGGAGTTGCAGATTTACCTGATCGAGCTTTATCGATAAAGTTTGCTATAGATGAAGCAGCTGTTGTGCCGTAGGCCGTTTCTGACCTTCTGATTTAATCATGGGCACACCACAAGAAACAAGTGTGTGTGTGTGTGTGTGTGTATGTTTGTGTGTGTTAGAGGCGGAGCTGCAGCTCATTGATCACTGTGAGTAAAGGTGTTTGTGTCTCCATGTGGTCTCCTTCCTTTTTGCCCAATCACACTGATCAGTCAGGCCAGTGCTGATTAAACTCTCCACTGCTGTTTAAACTACTTTCAGATCAGTGAAAACTTTATTTATAACCACGGGCGGCTCAGACTATTCTCGACTTTGCTCAAAGATTAAGGCAGATTAGTTGTAACTTTCAAAACTAAAGACTACGCCTAGGTAACGCTAAGTCTTATTTCAGAGACGTGCCTGAGGAGCTGCCCCGATGGCAAAGGACGGAAGAAACTTAAACAACACCGCTGATAATTTGCACGGCACAAAAGAAAGAGAAGAAATCGAGCTCAGCAGTTTAGATTAAAGATGTGATCCTAACATACAGGTGATAGGCATGAATGCCTGTAAATAGCAGCGGTGATAGGAGCGGTGCGTTTCAGGTGCAGACCAGGCTCTGACAGCCCTGCTGTGGATGGTCGGTCTAATGAAATTAATGAATTTAGTCATCTATCTGAAGTCTGAGAAGATCAGTTCCAGCTTAAACACTCAGCACTCATCACTTCTTAAGCATGCACTGCAGCTCTCCACATGTGTTTGCTCAGATCAGATTAATCATGCCTGAAAGCTGCAGCTCCCAGTTGACGTCCAGCTGATCCCTGCGGTGATGCAGCAGGTAGATGTCCAGAGAGCGTACATCGATTCCTTTTAGACTCCATCTTTAGTGGCTGCTTTGTGATGAGACAAGACGCAACGAAAAGCTCCCTTTTCAGGCTTGAGTAGGGTCATTCATCTGCTGCGACCGGTTAGCGGTGAGGGGAGGAAGACAGGATAAAGACACACTAGAGCCAGAGGTGAATAATAACTAAAATTCCTTCAAAAGGATCTTCCTCGAAATATAATTCAAATAAAAAAATTAAAAGATGAAGAAAAGTCTTTGTCGGGGTTGCTGGGATACACAGGGATGGATTCTGGGCATTTTTGACTGTAAGGGTTATTACCCATTAAAACAGACTGTGAGAGTCACCTAGACCCTAATTCCTGGTCCCCTTCTTAGGGTCCTGTTCTGTTACCATGTCCTGAATCTCATTAACACCACGAGTAACACCTGAGCTGCCTAAACCCGGCGACAGGACGCATGATGACCTCTCACACCACCCAGACTTTAAACCCGAGACCTGCAGGTTAAAGAGCGACACCTGTGGCTCACTCTCAGGTTATTGTAGCGCACGTGTAAAACCAGCTCGCTTTCTTATTTTCTTATCAAGTTTTACTGTTTCTGCATCCGAGAGTCTGCAGGGTGACGTGAAGTTTGTTATCAGACGGTGAGGGTGGGGCTCGGCGTGGACATCCATAGGCTCTGCAGCTCTCGGTGTCCACACCAGTATATGGGAGGTGAATGATTAAAATCAATACAAAATAAAATACAGAACTAGACAGCATTGCATCTGCGTGTTTCCTTACGTTGTGTGTGTTCTGCTTTTTTGTGAAGAAAACCACCAGTAGCCCACGAGAAGTTGTCAGAAACAGGGGCTGACGTCACATGGGTGAATATTGCTGACTGGAGCTTTAGTTGACATCTCTTATTTATTTAAATGTCTGACCTTAAACACCGCATATCGTATCTAAGTGCGTATTCATGCCGCAGTAAAGGAAGCGATAAAGCTTTTGTTTCAAGCTTTATGGTATAGATTTTTGCGTGCACTTTGAGGCGTTTGCTTACACGCTGGGTTTAAATCACAGGTGCTCAGATTGTTATTAGCGTGCAGGAGTGTTTCGTTTGGTTCAGACTTTCAGACCAATTGCAGTTATGGCAAAAAACCCACAAAGAGGAACAAAATCACTTTGCATGTGTTTGAAGATGCAGAAACGTATTTATTTGCAGCTTCTCGGTATTAGACCTTCCTTAAGTTCTCTACCTTTTCTGCTAATTAGTGTGTGGGAGGCTGTTTGCAGATCCAGACCTGAAAAAAAGTCAAAATACGAGGAAGGGATCAAGTTTTTACTGAATGATGGTTTGATGTTATACAAAGTGGGATAAAGTAAAGTAAAGTAACGCCTACAGGCAGGCAACAAGATGGATGCGCTCTCTGTTTAATAAAGTCATAATAGAAGGCAGTAGTCATCACGGTTCAAAGCGAGACCCAGCCCATGTAGATGATGATGGCAGGGTGGAGGTATGCGAGGTGAAGTTGTTTTTGTGCCTTTGCGTGATTACAAACTCAAGCTAAAGCGAACCTGAGTGCATGAAACCAAAACGTGAACCTTAGTTTGGAGTTTGTGGTGTGAGAGACCCTCAGGTGTGTATTTTTAAATCCTGAACGTTGGATTCATAGCCAGAAGTGACCAAATCTGGATGAGAGGGTGGAGTAAACCCGGGAGGAAAACAAGAGAGCTGAGAGGGTAAAAAAGGAGATTTTCTTAGATTCACCTACACTATAAATAATTCTGAAGAGATGAAATCCTGACTCCAGAAGGATACCTGGATCTGAAACGGGTTGTGATGTTCTCCTGAGATCATCCAGGAGACGCCCACAGTTCTGATTTCAGTTCGATGTGTTTGTAAAGATGTGACGGCAGATGTGCAGTTTGCTCCAAAGGTTCCTGGGTCAGGATTCAAATCACCTAAAAAAAAAATACACATGTCAGGTCTCTGATTAAAATCCTCAGATAATTTAAAAATGTTTGATAAGATTTTAATTCGTGTTTTATTTGTGAAATATTTCCTGTTTTATTTCCAAATGCTCTCGCTAAGAATGAAGAGGGAACCCTGTGAGGATGACTCTGATGGGAAACACTGGGACAGTTGCTGACTGTGTTTCAGCTGATAACTTGGACTGAGATCAGCAGCTTCAGTATCTGATGTGACCTTTGACCCCTGCACCTTTGAGCTCAGTGTTGTGTGTGCTTTAACGCAGAGCGAGCGGCAGCTGACGATCATTCAGGCGGAGCAGCGACGGCGGCAGCAGGAATGTCTGTCACTACACAGCTGCGTCTGCTGCTGTGGAAGAACTTCACCTACAGACGACGACAGACGGTCAGTCACACACACACACGCACACACACACATCAGGGCTTAGCCTGTCAACCTTTACATCACTTTTCATTCATCAGGGTGTCATTTGGTCCATAAAAAGTCTTTTTAAAGGTTTTTTTTTTCAGTTTCTGCATTATTCAGTCAATCACTTGGTCCATAAATAACCTTTGAGGACCTTTAGACCCTTAAAATCTTAAATGTTGGACTGAACGAAAAATATTGCTAGACAAAACAGTCGATTAGGCTGCTTTTATGAGGCTTTACCTTCCTGTCCTTAAAGAAACTGCACCTTCTTCTGCTCTGACATGTTGGATTTATTAATCAGTCATGCGGTTCCTGAAACAGCCGATATCTTTAGCTGAAGGAAAAAGTGTTTGTGGGATTTTTACAGATGGTTACAGAAGAAAAGTCTAAAAGCGTGGAATAAATGCCATGTTGTTTGAATATGTTATCAGTGTGTGCCTGTCCTTGGAGAAAGAACTACTTGTATAGCAATTTAGATTAAATGTTATTTAGCTGATCAGATTCTGGATAAATCAATCGCTTGATTGTTTGATAACATGTGTGATAACAGAAACATTTTTTTAATGATGCTCTTCTGCAAAGCATCATGTGAGGAGCTGGAAATAAAAAAAATACTTTTATTTTCTACATTTTTATGTTTGCAAACTGAGATGAAGCTGACTTTAACTGGTTCAGTTTGTGTTACCTGGATAGATCCTCCTGTTTGACTTGTTTTATGTTTGACCACAGAAACGAAGCGGTCAGTGTGATGGGGGTTTAAGGTCACCTCTCTGGAGTTATGTGGGGTTTTTTGTTTTTTGGGGGGGGATTTTCACTCGACCCTGATCAGTAACCTGGTTTGGGCTCCGTGCTCTGCTGCTGATCGATCAGTGACTTTTCATTAATTATGAATAACTTCTGATAATAAACACATGAAGCTTAAAAGGAGCCAATCAGGAGGCTTTTAGACCGCATGCACGCACTCTTTTTGTGTTTCTCTAATGGTTTCCTGTTTCTAGCTGGATTACGTGTTAAAGTGTGTGTCTGTGTGTGTTTCAGCTCCAGCTCCTGGCGGAGATCGTCTGGCCCCTCTTCATCTTCTTCATCCTCATCTCTGTGCGGCTGAACTACCCTCCCTACGAGCAGCATGAGTGTGAGTTGAAAACCTTTATTTAAACGCTAATCAAACGGCGCTCTGGTTCAGAGCCTGAGCCGATCGATCCGTTGAGGCAACGGCTGCCCCAGTTTCACAAAGTTTCAAGTGATGAAGAGTGATGTCAGAGAGCATCCTCATCCAATCAGCCTGCAGCATCGTGTCTGTTTGATCTGGGAGACAAATCTTGATGTGACGCGAAGTTTATGCTTGTCATGGTTGACCCAGCACACGGAGCTTCGGGCTAAAAATGATGATGTCGTAAACATGGTGGTGACAACATCAGGCGGTGTTTGACGTATGTTGGACGTCATCTACGTTGACTTCGTTTTTCAGCTACGAAAGTGATTTTCTTTGCATAAAAAATGAGCACAGCTTCTGCTAGAAACACTCTCAAACCAAAACAGAACTGGACCAGCACCAGTCAGGTGGTGCCAGTACGCGCTGGAGGTGAGAGACATGAACACAAAGGTTCAAATGTAGAACGTTCCTGCTTTGACGTGCACCACCATTATATAAATCACACAATATAATATATAAGTGTAGCGGGGGTTGGGTTGTGCTGATTTTTATCAATGAATGCACGTTTCTGTTTCATTAATGGGAACATTAATGTGCAGATAAGTCACACACAGACTTGTGTGTTCTTGCCCAAAGCTCTGCCCTCTTTGAAATGAATGATGAAAAACCCCAGAGCCAGGGTGATGTTCAGCTGACTCCTGTTGACTATTATCTGAATTAAAGCTAAATCTATATCCTTTTTTAAAAAATGTATATTTTAAAAACAAAGTTACAGGTGTGTTTCTGACCCCAGCATCATCATGGAGGGGGGGATAGAGCTACCTTAATTTGTGCACTCTGATCCCGTCTCCTCCCCCAGCGTGGCAGTGAGAGTGTCAGTTATTGGTGGTCACACAAGAGGCGATCAGGCTGAAGGCACATACATTCCAGCCTAGTCCAGCTGGAGTCCTGTTTTCAGGTGTTCCTGGAGGGTCCAGGGGCGGCCAGATGAGTGCTGGAATATCTTATGCTGGTTATCATCTCTCTTCAGACCCTTGCACCTTTAGGAACATCTGATATCAGTTTCACACTGATTGATTTGTCATTACCCGAGGTTATTGATTGACAGTGGTTCTGGAAGCAGGAGGAAGTGCAGTATTGCTTACTGCTGCAGGATTTCAAATTAAAGCTCCATGTGCTAAATGAATCTCCCCGTGTTGTTTATCACGAGGAGCTTGTTTTTTATTGCTCTTTATCGCTCATTATCAGACGTCGTGAAGGTCACAGTAATCCATCAACAATCTAAAAGTTCTGATAGGAGTGCTAAACTGCACGAAAGGGTTAAACCTCACTTCAGCGTCTTCTTTTTCCGTCTCAGCGCAGACCTCGATGTTGCATAAATAAATCAGCTGTTTGAAACCAGATGTTTTGAACATCTTGCCAAGCCTGAAAGGAAATATGACGAAGGACATGGAGAAGTTGGAGAGAAGACGCTGACTCAGACAGGAAGTTATGGTGATCTCACAGAGAGAGAAAGCAGGAAAACATTTTCCAGGTTACTTCCACATGGAAAGGATCTCAAGTTTGAATCAAAGGTGTTCGAAGCTGGAGTGAACTGCAGATGGAAATTGGTCTTTTTTAAGTTTTCTGTTATGTGTAGATTCAACACCGGTTCATCTCTTGAGTTTGGTGAATTTTTATGTTTGAGTGATTCATTTGTTAACGCTAAGTGGTTAAAAATGGTCAGGTATAAGAACTGGACTGAAAATGAGTGAAAAAGCAGCAAATGTCCAGAGAAAAACTGGATTTTGCTCCTTGAAAGCAAAATATGAAGACGTGAAGCGGTGACTCAGTAGCGAAGGTCCACTTTAAACCTATAGCGAATGGTTGTGTGATGTGAGGCCTTTTCGCCCGGCGAGCGCTGTGAAAATGAAGAAAAACTGAACATCTGCTGGGAACTCCATTTATTAGTCACATGTCAGCAACTTAATTATGTTTCCACCCATCTGTTTGTTCATTTACTTTGAGCATTGACTGACACGTCCACTCAGCGAAAGCTGACGTCACCCGACCAACAGTCCAGACCTCAAAAACACAGACTTCACGATTGATCAGTTCACGTTCTTCCCATCAACTGATCGGTAAACTCTTCCGCAGCTGCAGACGATATTGTGCAGCCAACAGTCATATTTTAACCCGAATGAACCCTGTGAGATATAAAGTCACGATCTGGGACGACCCCAACTTCCTGTCGTGTGTTTTCATGCCGAGACTTTGAAGGGGAAAAAAAAGTAATTTTTCTCATTTTTTGAGCAGTTCAATTGAAAAACAAAGGAAGAACAGCCTAAAATTGCTTAAGAGAAATTAGTGGTATCAGTGGAAATATACCAGTGTTTTTTCACACTGCTGTCCTTAGAGACCTATTGTTATTCCACCCCCGTGAAATCTTTACCGTAAAGGCATTCAAGCAACTTGTCCTGATCAAGAAATGCTTTTAAGTGTTAACTTTTTACTATTAAATCTGGCATCACTGCACCGGGAATATCTGTGATTTTACTGGGAATTTGTCACAGTTAATAACAGCAATTTGCTGTAATTGACTCTTCAGCCGTCTTTTCATCTCGCTCTGTTGAAGCTCAGGTAATTCCTCCTTAAAACGACGCAGTTAAACTTTTAAAGTGTAACACATGTCGGCATAAACCGACTCAAATAGGGTGTAAAATGCCAAAGTTTAAAATGACTGAGGGGATCTTGAGATAATCCGGTGTCAGCGGCTGAAAATGAAGAATCAGAAGCTTCAGGCTATACTTTTTTACTGGATGAATGAAACCTGCCTGACAGGAAACAAAAGGAAATGCTTTCATTCCTCACCGATTATCTCAGAGGAGGAGCGCCTCTCTGCCTCACTCGGGCCAAACGTCAACATCAGGAGATGAAGACGGAGCAGGAAGCTGCTCATCTTGCTCTTTCCCCGTGAAAGCAGAAGCTCTGGGCACTTGAAGTACTTTCACTTCTCGTGCTGTATGAGAATAGTTGTGCAGTGATTCACGCAGCATGTGAGCTGCAGGGACGTGTTGAAACTCGCCACGCTGGATCAGAGACGAGCTGGAGCCCGCTCGATCCTTTAATATCCAGTTTTACACACCAGTATAGCTTTGAACATGTTCATGGAGACGAATTTATAATGGTTAATCCCTCTGTGTGGGCTCTTTGGGTCAACACCGCGTGCTAAACGTGCAGTACAAATTAATGTGACTTGACGTGACACGACAGCTCCGCTGCACACAGTTCATCATTTGCTCTGTGGAAACTTTTCTGTTTGTTTTTGTGGCAGATATTCAGAGCTGCTGAGCTGCTTTCAGCTGTAGATCCCACTTTTCTTTCAGGCGATTGTCCAGCATGCCGGCCATCATCAGAAGTATAATGGATGTGATTGAGTCAACAGGATAAAATTACTTTTTAAGATTAATTTCTAAAGAGAATGTGGCTGTTGACATCACCTTTAACGAGTCTGAATCAGTCATGTGAGGGCAGTCTCCTTCATCTGTGGCTTCTTTTTAAGGTTTTTCCACATTATTCACTTCAGTTGACTCTGTTTACAGCATCTAAAAAAAGTTTAGATGCCGTTTAAAATTTAAAGAGTAAAACCAAAGTGTGGATGTTTCATCCTAAAGCAACTCGTCAAGTGTTGAAATTTGATTGTCTTTTAAAAAATATCAGCTCTTTCTCAAATTCAGTTGTTAACACGCTTGAGTGAAGTTGTTACGGGTGAGGTGCATCACATCTGTACGCCAACGTGTTACTCCAAATCCTCTGACCTTTCAGGGGTGTACTTGAATGCATCGCCAAGTCTCACAGGTGATTTAAGAGTTAAGGCGTTGTTGAAAAACTCACCTGCTGCACAGTGACCAGATAAAGAAGCGCTTTGGGAAGAAAATACTTCAACTGTGCTCCTGAGCAAATAAGATAGATAAGATACCTTTATTAGTCCCACGAGTGGGAAATTTCATGTTAAGGCTGCCGACCTATTGCACGCAATAGCGGCGCCGTCTTACCCCCCGACCATACATACATTACACAAAAACATCACATGGGGAAGACAGGTCAGAGAGGTATAACAATGGAAAATGCACCACATGAGGAAAGATAAGGAGAAAAAAATAACTCCCCCCAGACTGAGCTCCAACAGGGAGATCAGTTTTAGAACAGAAAAAAACACCTCTGCACATAAGAGCACATGAAAAAACTCTTAATACACCAAAGAAACACATGACAAGCAACAGGGGTGGGTAAAGGGTGAGAGACAGCCAGTGTAGACAGTACATCCGGCCTGCAGCATAAGTGCTGGTCTCCTTGATCCACCATCGGCATCGGAAGGGAATAAGCGTCGAAGGCGTTTGGAGGGGGGATGAGTGTACATCTGCATGTGTGTGTATATATATATGTGTGTGTGTGTGTATGTCCAAATGAGTTTATTTTACCAACTTCCAGCAAACTCTGAACACCTCAGGGGCCATGATAAGTGAAATTACTAAATAAAGCAGCCAGCTGACTGAGGTGTAACCACGCTGGAATATAACTGCAAAGAAAACAACGTGATGATGTGGATGGTGTGACGCAGTTATCACAGCAGAGTCAGGCCACAGCGCGTAGATCCACATGTTTGAGTTGGCAGCACGAAACAGAAGTTCTGTTTCATAATAAGGCACAGACAAGAGAGTCTCCACCTGCTGCTGGGACAGGTGGAGGACTGAAGGATATCCCTTTAGTCTGTCTGTGCCTAGACTAGCGCCATCTTTAGAGTATAACTATTTTCATTACAGTGTGTAAAAGGCTGTTTATGGCTATGATTCAGACGTCACTGATAGCGAGCTAGCGTAGGTTACCAACCATAACACCCACATAACCTCAGCTTTCTTTCTTCCTCTAATTTTTTCTTTTTCAGCCCCAGTGGGAAAAATCTTAATCTGACCTGTCTATGTGTATGAACATGACTTCTCTGTCACGGGCAGCAGACATGATGAAACCAGTAGTGATAAGTTTATTAAAATATTTGCCTAAACCTGCATGTTTATGTTTACCTGCCTGTTTTTGAGGATTGTTGGCAGACCGCTGCATATGGACCTGCTTACGATGTAAATCTGAACCTGACAAACACCAGGAGGGAGGTCCGAGCGGGTGGAGCTTTTGCTCGAGCTATTAATTGATTAAGCAGCACACAGTTCATCATTTGTTCTGTGGCACTTGTGGCTGAAGAGTTGGGAGTTTGCCTTGTAATTGAAAGGTTGCCAGTTCGAGCCCTGGCTTGGACAGTCTCGGTCGTTGTGTCTTTGGGCAAGACACTTCACACTGGTGGTGGTCAGAGTGCCCGGTGGTGCCAGTGTCCGGCAGTCTCGCCTCTGTCAGTGCGCCCCAATGTAGCTTGCCATCACCAGTGTGTGAATGGGTGGATGATTGGATGTGTAAAGCGTTTTGGGGTTCTTAGGGACTAGTAAAGCGCTATACAAATACAGGCCATTTATTAACATGTTTTATGAGCATTATCAGTTAACAGATTTAAGCTGCAGTGTGTTTTTTACACCCAGTTTAACAAGTCAAGCTCTGGTGTTTTGGTCTGGAGCCTGTGGGAGTTTTTCACTCCTGAGCTCATCCTGAAGCTGTTGTTCCACCTGTGTGGCCCTCACTCTGCTGTCGAGTGAAGTGAATCTGCGCCTCTCGTTTATCTTATCTGTGTTTTGATTAAAAAGAGGCCAGTTGGCAGTCTTAAAGGTTCCCTGATATCAGCGCCTTCTCTGCGCGTACAGCTGACACGGTGAAGCTAAATGAGAGAAAGGGGTAAAGGTCTTTGCTCTCAAAGTAAACCCGCTCGTGCCTCTGCCCTCGGCTTCAACCTGCAGCGGGTGCCGCTGATGCTCGACTGCGGGCGACAATAAACCAATTGCAGCTTATCTGACACCTCTGAGTCCAGGTGAACGTGGGAACACTTTGTTCCATCAGACCAGAAAGATAAAGAACATCTTTCAGATTAAATCTGACCGCAGCACACAGGCAAAACCACATCTATGGCTTTAAAACCTGCATATCTTACATTGGAAAACACAGGGGCTTTATTCTCTTCATGTTACAGTGCAGAGGTGAGTTGGAGGGCGCCTAAAAATGTGCACTATATCTCCCGTGAGCCTGTTTGGAGCTGGTCACAGCTTTCCTGTCACTTTTACTGCAAGATCTTCCGACTTTCTTGTGACTTCCTGTTTTCATTTCCTGTCTGCAGGTCATTTTCCAAACAAGGCGATGCCATCAGCCGGCACGCTGCCCTGGCTTCAGGGAATCCTCTGCAATGCCAACAACCCCTGCTTCAGACATCCGACACCGGGCGAGTCTCCGGGCATCGTCGGCAACTTCAACGACTCAATGTGAGTGGCCAAAAAAGAGGCTTTTATTCTGAAAACTTCTCATCTTTATTAAACTGCTAAAGCGTGCTTGTGGTTTCATCTTTTACTAATCAGCAGACATTTTTAAGTAAAATGAATTTTATTCTGATAGTACCTCACATTCTTTCATTTCTTGTTATTTACATTTACATATAGAGTGAAATCTCAGCTCAGTTCTTACATAAATGCCATCTGTAGAGCTGAAACAGGCTGTCAGTGACTTTATTTCTGAATCTTTATTGATACACTTTAACTTTCCTCCTCTCACACATTAACAGACAAAACTGAATTCAGCTGCTTTTACCTCTAACCAACACCGGCAGGTCATCTGCTCTCAGTGTTTGTGTATAAGCTGACGCTTCAGCTGTTTTCATGGCCTAAACCCAAATTCAGTAAGGGTTCATCATGACTGATTACATCACACACATCAGCTGATTTTGTGGTCGCTTTTTTCGCTATTAGTTTACACTCGGGAGCTGCTCGTTAAGCGGTACTGGAACAGTGACCTTCAAAGTAAAAGCTGCGGCCTTTTGAAATGTGTTGGTTTCAGCAATAAGGAGTCGCTTTTACTTTGAAGGCGAACATTGTTTTTTTTCTGGTTTGTGTCGTATGTTTTTGACTTTCACCACCACTCTGTGGTTAGTGGGCGAGCGTTTGCAGACTAACCGGCATCTTTCATCCAACCTGTGGTGTACCGTGGGAATCTGCTGGTGACCAGATCGATCATAAAGAGGTTTCTGGTGCAACATCTTCTTTGTGAGCCAATATCACCCACAGGTCGCTGGAGGTTCGCTGGTCTCTAGGCCTGTGTGACTGAGGCCTCAAATCTTTAATCTTATTGGTTGCTTATCAAATTCCTGCTACTTTTTCATTCTCCTAAGGAGCCAGAAGCTCAATAACTCTCAGATGTTGTGACACATAAACATCAACTACTTTTAAGACTTAAAACTACGATATAAATTACTTATCTGAGCTTTTTCACTTTAATACTTCATGTTTCTTTACTTGTTTTAAAGTGACACTTAAACTTCCTGTAGAGTTTAATTTTGAACCTTTTTCCACTGTTTCACTTCACATATTTTAAATGGCACCATCTGCTGACACCTTCCTCCCTTTTCTGTCTGCAGACAGTCAGTGTAAGAAGGTTAGCTTTTGAACCTGTGGACTGAAGTAGTATCCTTAGATATCTACTATTTTTTTATCTAGAACTTACTTTTGGCTGATCCCTTATTCAGAAGGTGGTCACTTCAGCAGCAGACTGGATCTGTGATCAAACCGGGGGATCTTTTGCTTGTTAGGCGAATGTAAACCTTAAACTCTGGAGTTTAGTTAGTCACTGCTTCCATACAAACTAACACTTTAACTGTTTTGAGTGTCAACAGAAATGTGTCATTTTAACCTGTTTGTTGTTTTCACTGTAAGCTGGCATGTGCCGGGTCTTTCCCTCTGTGTTTGTATGCATGCTAAGAGCTCCTTTGTCGCTCACGTTTGATGTTTTACTTTTATTTTGCAGAATTTCTCGCCTTTTCTCGGACGCCAAGAAGATCCTCCTGTACAGTCAGAATGATAAAAACCTCGAGGGCTTCAAGGAGCTGGCTCAAGCCCTGCAGGTGCTGCAGTCCAGCCGCTCAGGTATGGCATGCGAAACGCAACCCTCACTGTGTGGGGATGAGCTCAGATCAGGGTTAGCGATGCAGTTTGACTTTGTTTGATTTCGCTAATCTGAGCATCAGTGTGGGTTGGAGTGATAGCAGACATATCAGCCTTACGGCTGATATGCACGTCATCACAAAATAAGAAATACACTGTAGATAAAAACTCAAAGCGTGTTTAAATGGTGAAAGTTCCAGCTATGAGGTGTATTTATACACATGTTCTTGTTTTAATCTTAACAACCTGCACACGGCAACAAAGATTTTAAAAAAAGGAGCTTTTGGATAAGAAAAGTAAAATCTTAATGTGTCAACATGACTATAGTAATAATATTCATTATTATTATTTTAAAACTGTATAACAGAACAAATGCAGAATTTAAAAGAAGTAGAACATTTTCTTTTAACATCCAGCCGGTGCCTAAATGTGAAGGTTTTATCGCCATTCCTTTAACAGAGGAACCTAAAGGCCAAAATGCATGCACTTATTTTGAAAAGTAATGTTGTAAAAAAACCAGCAGAACCCTAAAACTGGTCACCTGGGCCCTGATTGGTGTTAAGAAGTTAAACTGACTGAGACTTCGGGTCAGATGAGAGCCTCGGAAACCAGCCACATAACACCCATCTTCCATATTTCTGTGAGAACAGTTCCTCGTGCAAAACATGGAAGCTGGAGGCAAAGGTTTAAACATTTCTTGTGCTGATTTTATGGCAGCTATAGGACTTGGTCTTTTCAGACTTTTTAGACGCACCTGATGAATTCCTTAACCCCAGGTTACCATGTTAGAGGAGAAGATGGACTGAAGTTCTCACCTAATGCTGGCTACATTGGTTAGCAAGCTTCACCTATAGACTGTACAGTAGGACACAAACAGTTAACAGACAACTTGGACGCCGTATTCATACAATTAAGCTAACAGCAGCCATAATATTGGTCGGATAATTGTCTAAAAATTAAAAAACTGCTGGAGCCTCGAGTGGACGTTAGAGGAACTACAGCTTTTGAAACTGGAGCCTTAGCTTTTATTTTTTAGCCCCAGAGGTTAATGTTTGGAGAGAATGCCTTGACTAATCCTACAGTTTAATTCATAAACCTGTGAGTCATGACTGTGGGCAGGCTCTTTTTTGAATGCCACCTTCGTCAATAAATCATCTCTGAGATCAGCTCGCTGAAGGAACCTAACAGCTAGCGAGTCTTTGCAGAGCCTCTCAAAGGTCAGCAGGTTTTTAGGCGTCCTCTCTCTGCCGCAGGAGTTTTCAGGCTCGCTGAACAAAAAGAATTTCTCTCTTTTGTGCGTTAATTTGCAGCTTTGACTCTCTGTGGGGGGCGTTTGTTTTCCCTACCTGCACCGACCTGCCGGCTCTCTTGCTTCTCCTCCCTGTTGATTGAGCATCAGCACGTTTCTGCTCTTTATTCCCTCTAATCTGTTAATAAATGAAGCAGTTTTATTGGTCAGGTGGAGCGATGGTGTGATGAGGGGGCGGCATGACACGCCGCAGCAGGTTTACCTGCTTACCTTCCAGGTGAGCTCACCTGGTTAGAGGGCAGCAACCAGGATTCAGCAGTTCTCAGGAAACTTCATAGCCCGAGGCCTTAGAAACAGATTTGCGAAAATGCAAATGTTTCTCTGCAGCAAGCGACCTTTAACGGTTTATTCAGCACCAATAAAACAGATTTTCATCTGACAGACAATTTTCATGTCAGTTTTAAATCTAAAGCAAGCATAGAAAGCTAATCAGTTAATTATCAAGCTTCAAATGAGCCAAGACCTCCAACTTTCACATCGAGGCGTTAAGACCAAAGACCGCACACTGAAACACACTGAAAGTTTTTCCTTTGTTTGTTTGTTTGTTTCTGGTGGTTTTTATAGTTTGTTTTGTCACTTTGTGTTGTTTTTGTTTGT